AATTTAAAAATTGAGACAGAGTGTCCATAGACCAAGCTGGTAAAGTTGGGATGTCCTTCCTCAAATTCTGGATGCTGAATCAACATGCTTGTGCCACCAGTCATGTTCCTAGGAGTATGTTAAAAGTGTGATGTTTGGCTAGGTGTGGTGGTGCACACCTTTAATCCCAGCATTTGGGAGGCAGAGGCAGGTGGAGCTCTGTGATTTCAAGGCCAGCCTGGTCTACATAGTGAGTTCCAGGCCAGCTGGGGCTACAGGGAGATCCTGTCTTTAAAAAAAAAAAAAGTAATGTTCAGTGAATATTCTCTTCATGAAGAACAGACTCTGAGACTCTTAACTGAATATAAGCATGTAAGATTTGCTTAGTCTGCATCAATTCTCTGATGTCCAAATTTCTGCTCTACTAGAGGAGATTCAACCATTATTGCATTGTGTTGATCTGTAACTGCTCAGAGGTAACACTGAGAGAATGCAGCTTTTGGCAAGCACACATAGAGTCAGAAGCTGTAGTTCACACTCATTTGCTTTCTATTTTTGTGATGCTGAAGATAGAACCCAGGGCCTTAGGTACACGGGGCAAGTGTTCTACCATTGAGCTACATGCCCAGTCCTACGCTAACTTTATAACATGAGATAATTGTACACACAGTAGTTACCGTCTCTAGACCACCCTGAAACTTCAGGAGTATAAACTGGGAAGTTTGAGTCTGTGCAGTTGTAGAGAGAAGAATGCGAAGACATAGCTAACAGTTTGTCACTAGTGGAGCACTCCTCAGAATATTCTCTTCCCTCCAGTTATTTCTAGGAAGTTCTGCTAGGAGAGTATTAGAGGCAGGATTTCTTTCCATCCATGTTTGAAGGGAAATAAATTACACACACACACACACACACACACACACACACACACACACACACACACAAAGAAACTTTCAAAACATAGTTAAATAGAATAAGAAATAAACAGATACATGTGGGCTCTGAAATAAAAGTGACTTTCTGTTTTGCTGTTCCTTTGGAAAGGTTGGTGATGACATGAAATCATTCTTGCTTTGGTGTACGGAATTCACAGCACAGCTAGAGGAAGCAATTAAGGAAGAATGTAAAGTATGTATTTTGTGTAAAGTGCCAAGTGTAAACTATGAGCGATTGTGTTGGCTGTAGGAACTAGAATGGGATACCCAGTCAGCAATATTAGCCTAGATTCAGTCTTTTAGGGAGTTGTAAAGGTCATTATAAAGTCTTAGTTTTGTTTCTTGATTCTCAATGTAAGCATTTATATTTGTGAATTTTTCTCTAAATAGAGTATTGATGTGGTCACATGTGCTTTCAAATGTGATCTATATTTTATTTTCATTTATAAAAATTAGTTTCGGGCCTGGAGAATGACTCAGTGGGTTAAGAGGACTGGTAGCTCTTTCAAAGGACCAGGATTCAGTTCCCAGCACCACATGGTGACTCACAACTACCTGTAACTCAGTTCCAGGGAGTCTGATGCCCTCTTCTGGCCTCTGCATTCCAACTTTCCCCAATAATTGACATTTTAATCAGTTAATCTGCATCACAGAATGTTGGACACAGGTGTGGTTCTTTTATGGAAACATTAGTTGACCAATAAGCTTTGAAATGATTCTTGTGAATTGTTTTGGGCTTCCTAATATAGTCCTATAAAGCAGAAAGTCATTTTTTGTTCAAGAAGTAGTTGTATATCCAAAATGGACTGGATATATAGGACTATATCTACAAAAATATTAAAGCTTTGAACAACAGGTTTGTAGTTATTTTACCAACATAAATAGCAATATTTTTAGCACTTATATTGTTCAAAATTGTAAGAATTATACAGTATATCATACATTTTTTCAAAAATTTCTAAATATACTAACTAAAACTTTCCTTTCCAGGTTCTGGAATCTCTTTTTAAGGTATGTGTTTCAATGGATTTCCACTTAAACTTACTAAAACTCAAGAGAGGATTACATATAAACAAAGAAGGGGGTCTAGGATTTGAAGTACAGAACTCCAAGTTTGCTTTTATTTACAGTTATGTGTTACACTAACCCCATTCTGAGCCCCTTGTTGTCTGAGTCAGGACTGGTGATGACAGATATAGGGTCGCAGACACACATGTATAAAGACACACATGTATACACACCTTTATTTCACTATATTAACTATTACTTTTTTGTCTTTTTTTTAAATGAAGTGGTTTCAGCAACAAGTCAACCAAATGGAAGAGGTAAACAATATCATTTCTTGGCTGTTGATTACAGTAGTAAATTGCATTTGAAAAACAATTTGAAGTATGGATAAGTTGTTTGGATAGCCATTGGTTATAAAGTAACATTTTTATTTAGGTTGAAAAATGATTAGTAGATAGCAAAAATATTCTTCAGTGCTTTATACCTTATTTTCCTGCATAAATCTCATAGAGAGAATGAGATACTGGATCATTCTATCTTATAAAACTGAATAATGAAAATTTAACCTTTTTTATTAATTTACATGAGATAAGAATTTATTAACTTAAAATTTCTCCTATAATAAAAATCATGTATAATAAAAACAAACAAAGTTATATATTAATCTGTCTAAATTTTATGTTTTTAATGATGTCCTTTGTATGCTGGATTTTCAAGTACTTTAAACACCAGGTTGAGAACATCTGGTTTCTGTCCTCAAGGACTTTGGATTCTACTTTGGAAGAGATTGTATATATTCCACTAACATGAAGGAAAGATCTCCAGGGTGGCTTTAGAGCTTTTCAGATTATTCCAGGTTTTCCTTGGCAATAGTTATCAATCTCTCTAGTTAAACACTCTAGAAACCCAGGCTCTTCAGAGAAAAGAGGCTTGTGTATTTGGGATATAAAATTAAAAGGTAAAGAGAGAAAGTGCCATAATCCCCCAGAACCTTCTCATCATTTTCCTCTGACCCCAGGAAGACTTTCATAATCTGCACACTTTGCAGTACTGTAGCTATGGCAGAATCGGGAGTGCCAGTGGTTCCTGGGCCATGGCATGTTGCTGTTCAATACCTTCCCAGAAAAGTGGAGATAAGCAATGTCACAATCCCGCTACCCTCTTGTAAAATGTCTGATTTTGAATTTGAGAAGCTCAGCTTGTCTTCCCTCCTATGTGAGTGCTATAAGCAGCTTTTTAGTCCATTTTGTTCATAGATTTGTCATTTGCTCATCTGTTTCCACCCGTTCCTGCCAACCTACATCACCTTTCCCACCTCCAGCTTTTCCAGTTGCTTAACTATTTTGTGCGCAAATGCCTAGTGTTTTCTTTTTCTTTTTTCTTTTCTTTTCTTTTTTTTTGGTCTTTTTGAGACAGGGTCTCCCTGTATCCAGCACTAGCTGTCCTGGAACTCACTATGTAGACCAGGCTGGCCTTCAACTCACAGAGATCCACCTGCCTCTGCCTCCCAAGTGCTTTCATTTTTAATGCATTTTATTAGTTTTATATTTTATGTGTATGACTGTATTGCCTACATGTATGAAAGTGCGTCCGTGTCATGCAATCCCCACAGAGATCAGAAGATGGCATCAGATTCTCTTGGAACTTGTGTTACAGACGGTTGTTAGCCGCCATGTAGATGCTGGGAATTGAACCCAGGTTCTCTGCAAGAGCAGCCAGCCCTCTTAACCACAGAGCCAATTCTCCAATCCCGATAGTGTTTTCATTTTCACCCATGACTTACACATCCAGTCACGCTTTGGACCTTGTTATTAACTAGATTTATATATTTTTAAAACCACTAATTCAGGAAATCTGCTCTTTCTATGCTCTCTCTCTCTCTCTCTCTCTCTCTCTCTCTGTCTGCCTTTGCCACTTTAGCATTAATTAATTAATCTGAATTAATACAGATGCTAGCATTTGAAAATCTTGGAATGACCCTTTTACTGATGTCATTATTTTATTAGTATCTGCTGGTGTGGCTAATGCCTGTGGTTGTGATGCACTGTCAGAGATACTTGTCGAAGCCATTAATGTATATAACTCTGTTACCCTGTCAAAACTTCTTTACCCCCTCTAAATGGTGCCCAGTTGCTATTTGCTTATGTGCTTCTTTTATTATTGCTTTTGGACGCTCCTTGCTAAACTTCCTTTGAGTAGAGCTGTTGACTAGAGAAGTGTGATGTGACAGCTTAGTCTCTGAATCTTATTGATTCTCTTCACTTCTGATTTCTTTCTAGCTTGACCAGAGGTTTGAGACACCCAAAGGGATCCAAACATTTCCCTATGCAGACTTAAGATGTGTTAGCTTCTAAGATTTAATAGCAGAGGATCATGACTTTATAAGCAAATTGTCTTTTTAAAATTTATTACAGATTATTTTATTTTATTTTATTGTCTTTTTTGAGAGAGTCTCTGTAGCCCCAGCTGGCCTGGAACTTGGCCAAGTTGGTTTCAGTCTCACAGAGACTGGCCTTCCTCTGCCTTCCAAGTAAGTGCTGGGATTAAGGGCATATACCACAACCCCAGGAGACAGTTGGTTATTCTTAGACAAAATTTAGGTGAATCAACTGATTTATAATTCCTCTTGTAAATATTTTGAATTGCATTGATTGTTATTGTCCTTGCATAAAAATGTATGTATATATATAATTATACTTAGGTATCCTTATATCCTTAAGGATAATAGATGTTGATAATAATATTTCATAAATATAAATAGTGATCTATTTTACAAAGGTAATTGCCAGTGTTTGACTGTAGCAGTACATGAAGGTAACATTATAAAAATTATTCAGATTTGACAAAGGAAATAAGTAAATACTTTTGAGGTATAAGATCCAAATGGGTTGTTCCTAGGTAACTAGCTATTTTTATTACTTTAGATAAGTAAAGATCAAGCTGTTTTAGAAACAGATCTTCCATCAGCTGATAAATCAAATTTAAGCATTGCACAAATAGTAAATGTGATACAAAAATTTGAAGAACTGAAAAATCGCCTTAAAGACCATAAAACATCCCTGCAATTTAAATACATGTAAGTAAAATATAACAATGATTTGAATTAAAATCAGTAAGGGAGTCTGTAATTAGCAATGAATGTAAGATAATTCATTTTAATTCTCTATGTATAGTTTCTAAATGAAATCTTAATGTTTAATTGCCTTGCTTCTGATTACAATTTTTAATAGACTTACAGAATCCAGTCACTAGCCATATGTGGCTATTCAAATTTGATTCAGTAAGAAAACAATTGGTTTCTGGGTCACACTAACTGCATTTCAAGTGTTCAGTAGTTATATGTGGCTATTATTTAAAACATCTATTGGATAGTACTATCTTTAAAATATCTGGGTTGTAAGCGTGTCTCTGAATTTGATCAAGTGACTCCTAGTAACAAACTGTTTGTTAAAAATTTATCCTTGAGTAAGCATCCTTGACATCATAGAACAACAGCTCCCCCACACCCCCACACCCCCACCCCTGCTAGTTTTTTGGAATGGTGCCAAGTATTGGTTTTGGAGACTAAGGATTGGTTTTAAAGCTGTCTTATGTCTTTTTTCTTTTTTTTGTTTTTTTACAATTTTTCTTAGCATCAAATTTTGTTCATTTTCTTTTTATCAGCCCCCTTCCCACACATCCCATCTCAAACCATTCTGTTACCACTGGTCCAACAGGTCGAGGAGAGCTTAAATACCTTCCTTGGCCTTCTTTCTTTTTTTCTTTTTTAAAAATATATATTTATATTTTTTATT